AGTCAGCGTGCGCGTGACTGGTGGCTGGGCCACTTCGGCCTTGCTGCCGGTCTGGACCAGTTAGGTTAGGTCAGCTAGCCTGTTGCTGGGCCGCTACGAATCTGGGCAAGATATGGGCTGCAGCATATTGAAAGGGGAGTTTTTTGTTTTCAATTTTATTTTATTAAAAAATTTAAAAAATATTTTTTTCAAAGTTTTACAGATCTACACCCCTAATATCCTTCCAAATGATTTTTTATGACATGGTACATATTCATTGGTGTATTCTAACGGCCATATGGAAATGGTCGGTCATTTTGCAAGGGGCCACCTACAAAGTATCATAGGCTAGCCATTTACAGGAAGGCTCTAGAGAACGGCAAGTGGCCCGCTTATAAAATGTTGTATGTCACTATTTTATATAGATAGTCTGCAAGGGGACCGCCATTAAAATGTTCGCGTGACTGTAACAACACACCAACGGGTGTGTATCATGACAACATAAAGTGTTTTTAAAAAACTTTGAAACCAAAAGTTATTTTACGAGAGAGCGTTAGGGAGTAAATTTGTAAAACTTTAAAAAATTGTAAAAAATATTTAAATAAATAAAATTAGATATTAAAAAAATCCGGGGCGGGGAGAGAGACAAGGATGAGAGGTTGGGCTAAAAGGTGATATTTTTAGGATTTTTTTTAAATCCACAAATCCAATCATCTGTAATGCTCTCTTTAAAAAGACAGAAAATACTACTCAAATAGGTGAACAAGAAAGATACTGTGAATTCAATAATTTATTGTGGGACATGTGCACTCGATAATTATTGTGAAATTTCTTGCTAGGTCGTCAATCTTTCTTAATTTCGTTCATCATTAAATTTGCTTGAAGTTCAGTGCAGGGGTCGATATCTATCTGTTTCACGTGGAACACGTGCACTCGAGAATCTTAACGTCCACTCCATCCGTTACATAATTTAACAACCTAAAATCGGATGTAACATTTAACTATCGATAGTTAAATATCACATGTAACAGTAACAAATACTTAAATATCTCGGTGTTTGGTGTGTGTTTACGATAATATCAATTTCGTAGTACCGTTGAATCTAGCCAGCAAAGAGGTCTGTTTAGTTTGCCATCCATGTCCTATTCTTTTATTTTGTTTTGGTAATGTCTAATCATTCTTATTCTTACAATAATTTTGGCACTGATAGTTACTTCGCAACAAACCAAATAAAACTTCCACTTAACTGACTGATTTTTTTCTTTTATAGTATAATATAGAGTAAATTTCACAAAGCTACAGGTATTTTGCATAATTTATCACAGAACTACAGATTTAAGAGCTTGTTTCACAAAACTATATATTTAGTGTCTCCGTTTATCACAAAACTACAGATTTAATAACTTGTTTCACAAAATTATAGATTTAGTGTATTCGTTTATCACATAACTACATATTTAGTGTCTTCATTTATAACCAAACTACAGGTGTAGTGTCCTCATTATTACAAAACTATTGGTTTAACAATGCTAAAACCTATAGTTCTGTGAGAAATGAAGATATTAAATCTGTAGTTTTGTTAAACAATTTTTTAAATATATAGTTTTGTGATATATTCTGCAAAGTACATGTAGTTTTGTGACAACGAAGATATTGAATCTATAGTTTTATAAAATAAGTTCTTAAATCTATAGTTTTGTGATAGATCGTGCAAAGTATATGTAGTTTTGTGAAATTTACTCAATAGTATAAAATTTGCAGTTTTTTTTTACTGTAAAAACACAGCTCGGTACAGTGGTGGATCTATTGTTGGGGCTTGTTGGTGCGCAAGCCCCATCTGCATGATTCCCTTCCTCTAATTAGCGACTAATGACTCTAATTAATTAGCATTTAGCGTAAATATGTACTGGCAAGGAAAGCTAGCTCAAGCACTGAATGCCAAAATTAAGTTGCCAATGTCAAATATGATGTAAGTATACCATACTAATTTCTCGATAGATTTGTGTAGATATATTTGTATAGCTGCGAATTAAAATGGAGAAAGCAATGGGATGTTAATTGATCATATGCATTTGGGGTTTCATCCGAAAATACTTAGTTGAGCACGATTGACTAATACAGTGACATCTTCTGTGCCACAAATAGTACCATGCGCCGTCCTCCTCCTTGCTAAAAATAGTACGGCGTGCCGTCTGCCGCTTATCGTTTCTTTTGCTAAAACAACACCGTTCTACCAAGCTTGTTGGCTCGAGATTACACATTCATCCTAGCAGGCATGTATGCATCAGCTGCCAACAGTGCATGTCTTTTCTTTTCCTTCTTATAGGATATTCTCTTAAATTACTCATCCGATTTACGATCCGATTACACCGTTTTGTTCATAATAATTTAATCTTTATAAGATCTTACATGATTATATTTTTTAAAAAAATTACAAATTATTTTCATAATATATCTAAATTACTTTTAGATTTCATTAAATTATTTCTTAGACATATAAAAGTAAATTTAATAAATCCTAAAAAAGGTAACTTACATATATATTATAATAGTAACTCAAAATAAAAGAAAGTAACTTGTCACGACATCAAAAGTTAATTTATTGTGGGGGTAAAAACATAAGTCAAACTAATAATTAAATTTAATCAACATAATATAGAACTAACCAATCAAGTAAATTGTTCACCGAATGTCTGAAATTTTTTTTAATAAAATCTAAAAGTAATTTTAATACATGATAAAAGTAACTTACATATATAATAAAATCAATTATGTAATATTTGGTTATAAAAATTTAGTTGCAACGAACATAGTGGTATAATCAGATTATAGATCGGATAAATAAGTTAGCAGAAAATTTTATAAGAAGAATAAAAGACATGCACGTTGACAATAATAGGTTGGCACAAACCCCATACCAACCTAGCCTTCAGTTGCATAAACTCTGGCTTGAAATGATAATTTTACCACATTTAGCAACTGGACCATCGCTCCTTGGTACTAAACCAAGAGCTCTCTCGGTTAAGATTTTTCGTCAATTGATATATCTTAGTTTGTTTCAATCACACTTTCATATTTAAACACGAGCCCTCCCTCAATTTACATCCTAGATTCTCCACTGGCTCGGTATCGTGGTTGACAGTAGTCGATTGTTTTTCACTGTTTCAATTTCGGTCCTAAAAAAATTAGTTTAAACTGGCCTTTAAGTCGTGCATTTGCACAACCATAATCTCCCTCCATGAAACATGTTAAATGTTATTTATAGTAATGAGTTAAAATAGGTGTTCGTTGAACATACTTTGTAAGAAGCTTAGTTATAACAATAACATATATATTCTGAGTTGTAATGTGGCTGGTTCGCATGTCCGACTATAAACTATGTACTCCATCTGGTCACATATATAATTGGTCCTAGTTTGTTTAGCAGAGTTTAAGATTGAGGTTGAATTACTTTGTACACAAAGAGTTTACTCATTTGGTAAAGATCACACCTATCATTTGAAAATTCCTTATATTTGTCGACGGACGGGGTAGATAAGAAATAGCATTTTCCAAGCGATGGGCGCGAATAGAGGGGAAAATATGTAGTGCAAATCACATATGTAGTAGAAACTTGGAAACTACCGTTGGATTGAGAAATGGACGTCTGAGATTCATCCACGTCATCGTGAGTTAAAATTTAACTCCCAGTAAAATTTTAACTCATGAGTGAATCCGCGAGTTAAATTTTAACTCAAGGTGACGTGGAAGAATTTCAGACGTCCATTTCTCGATCCAACTGTAGTTTCCAAGTTTCCACTACATGTGTGTGGTTTGCACTACATATTTTCCCCGAATAGAGATGTGTATGTAAAATTCAGTGGTATCCAACTACTTCCCATTGAGAAAGTATAAGTTTCTTGATACGAGATCGGGGAATTTCGTGATTAGCGTTGGCATGCTTAACATGCCCTTTTCATAGGGGATCAATCGGTTCTATTTTATGTTTTAAAGAAGACCATAAAAAACAAATATCATATTTATTGATGGACCTATTAAAACAAAATCTCATATACATTTATGGACTTATCTGTCAGTAAGCTAACTCCAGGGGCGTCCTTGGGCCCGTGCGGGCTGTGCGACCGAACAGGGCCCCTAAAATATTATGTCCTATATATAATAATATTAGAGGCTTTAATTTTGTTAATTTGCAGTTCAAATAGTAGTAAAACAAGGTCCAAAACGCTGCAAAAGATGAACCAATCCATCTTCCATCATACTCCTGTCCAGGCGTCCACGTCGTTGCGTATTGCCGAAGTCCTGACGCCGCAACTGCTTCGTCTCCTCTCCCCAGTCCCCTCCGGCCTCCGCTTCTACCTCATCGCTGATGATAGGCTGATCACCACGCCCCTTTTTAATTTTACTATAAAAAATTACTAGGCTACTAGGGCCCCATTTTAATATTTTGCACACGAACCCGATTTGGCCTGGACGCCCCTGGCTAACTCAATCAACCGGGCATAGGCCCAGGCTCCCTGGTTCGGTGCAGGGATGTGATACTTGGCTAGTATATGTGGTTCAATTATTTTTATTTCTTTGGTGTTTAGTCTCTACTATTCTTATCTCTTTACCACATTGAGAAAGTGCTGGAAAATTCCGGAATACCCTCTTTTATCCAATGGCTGAGATTTATTTTATCTATTTTGTCACTTCATGAATCTAACGGCTAATATTAATATGATGATGTGGCTCATCCTAATTGTATTTTAGGATTCACTTTACACTAGTAGAAATTTGACCAAATCTGTAAAAAAAATCATTCCGAAAATTAACAGACATGTCAGAAATTTTGATACCCCGGAATATAAAACGAAATTACGTCCATGATGGTTAATTACACATGCCACCACCGGAAACATCCAATCCCAATCACAATTTCACTTTCTTCAATATGGCGTGCAAAACGCCGCCTTATTTTATTGCAAATAACATCACAGTATCACATCCACCACCTTCATTTTATAGCTGCTAGAAGTCTGCCAGTTTCCAGCTCACACCGTACACTCACTAAAAGCCGTAGCAATGGCGACTTGGATTCTTGGATGGTTGCTATGGCTTCCCGTGTTTCTCATCTCCCTCTACCTCGTCGACATCCTTGCACACTCCTGCCGCCGCCTCCCGCCTGGACCCCGCCCACTTCCGTTCATCGGCAGCCTCCACCTGCTCGGCGACCAGCCACACCGCTCGCTCGCCGGCCTCGCCAAGAAGTACGGCCCTCTCATGTCGCTCCGCCTGGGTGCAGTCACCACGGTGGTCGTCTCCTCGCCGGAGGTCGCCCGCGAGTTCGTGCAGAAGCACGACGCCGTCTTCGCGGACCGGTCCATCCCGGACTCCATCGGCGACCACACCAAGAACTCCGTCATCTGGCTGAACCCCGGCCCGCGGTGGCGCGCGCTCCGCAGGATCATGGCGACGGAGCTGTTCTCGCCGCACCAGCTCGACGCGCTCCAGCAGCTCCGGCAGGAGAAGGTGGCGGAGCTCGTCGACCACGTCGCGCGGCTGGCGCGCGAGGGCGCCGCGGTGGACGTCGGCCGCGTGGCGTTCGCCACGAGCCTGAACCTCCTCTCGCGCACCATCTTCTCGCGCGACCTGACCAGCCTCGACGACCGTGGCGCGTCCAGGGAGTTCAAGCAGGTGATCACAGACATCATGGAGGCAGCGGGGAGCCCCAACCTGTCCGACTTCTACCCGGCGATCGCCGCCGTCGACCTGCAGGGCTGGCGCCGGCGGTGCGCACGGCTGTTCACGCAGCTGCACCGGCTGTTCGACGATGAGATGGACCATCGTAAGCTGCATAGCCGCCATGGTGGCCCTGGAGAGAATGGGAAGGAGAAGGACGACTTCCTGGAGGTGCTCCTGAGGCTCGGCGCGCGGGACGACGACATAGCAGGGCTTGACGGTGACACGCTCCGCTCGCTCTTCATTGTAAGTACTCTCTTCAGTTTGATAATTCGTGTTATTTTCAATAAAGATATGGTTTCCAAAGCATATATATGAGTGTGATTTTCTGTTATAACTAGGAAGAAAGGCCCCGCAGATGCGCAGACATCTTATTTACTGTTTTATGAAATAATGTTAAAATAAGTCATATCTCACCATTTATACGCTGTGAGATAGACCATAGACTTTAATATATTTAAGAATGCATGTTAGACTTAAAAAAACATCTTGTCCTAGTTCCATATAGATTCTTCTACAGTCACACAAACTTATTATCACTATTTTAAAAGTTGAGTAATATATGAAACTATATATGTTTATTTCCAAATCCATATATAAATATTCTAAAAACACCACTTCTACCGATTAATAGGATACACCATTAAAATTAAACCATTAAAGTTAAACATAAATGCTGGGTGAAGATAGTCATAGTCATCGAGACTTTCTTACTCTAGTGCCTTGAATGATGGGTCTCTCATTAAGATAGCCGTGCACGTGCTCTCTCGAGATCAACCTAGAGCACAATTTTAATGTCTAATTTACTATCACACCCTTATGTAGTATTGCATTGTCATACTGGCACCGCCTTAACTCAGTGTATATACGCCCCTGTTATACTTACGATAGCATAGCAAACACTGTTGTTTATGCTTGGTGACCCTAGGAAAGGACAAAGAAAAGATAAAGGTGATCGACATAGTTGTGTTTTGAATCGATTTGTGGTACAGAGTAGACACGGTATGCTTAAGATTTTGATCATTGCTACTCAAATTTTTATAGTATAGCTAGAATACTCTCATTCATAAAGAAGCAAGGTCCATCACCCGATGGTAGTTAAATAATTAGCCAAAGAGAGACATACCATCACAATAATCTCCAGAGCACTATTGTTTATATTTTGACAAATACCTATAGTTTAGCACCTGATTTGTTTTAACACCTACTGTTGGCAACAACATGATAAACCTTTACTAATTTAAATGATGTATTTATACTTCTAAACCTATTTATCAATTACGTAGTATATTTATCATGTCATATTTGACAAATATGAAATTATTTTAAAATTATAATTACATTAATTTTCATATATTAGCCCGAGATGTGGTGATGCATTTAGAATCGGAATACAAATTTTATTAGACACAAATATTTTATTTAAATAAAGGAATACAACAGGATCACAAATTGGATATATAATTTAAAAGATAACCGTTTCGAGATAATTGATTTTATATTTGATATTTATATTACCGATCTAATTTATATTTCTGCATATTTGTGGAGTAATATATATTTTATATGGTAAAAAGTTATATTTTAAAGACCATTGATTTTGTTCCAATGTACGTATGTTTTTTATTAAGTATGTTTCTTATTGGCTTTATCCTTTTTTATGGTAGGTACGTGCTTTTTTTTTCCTCATAATAGTTATATGTAACCTTTTTTCTCATTTTACATACGTACTTATGTTTTTTTGTTCTTTGACCATCGAGGTGCATACAGATCTACTAAGCACGCTATGTTTTATTTTAGCTTTTGTCGTACATACAGGAGAAAGGTATTATATATATAGAGAGATCTGATTTATTGTATAAAATTATGGGTCCACCATTTAAGTGAAAATCAACAGCATATATCTAATCTAACATTATAAAATAACGGGTCTACCAATTTAAATGAAAATCGATGGTGAGATTAAATTTTGTCACGTGGCATCCTAATAGCATTTGTATACAGATCTACTAAGCACGCTGTGTTTTATTTTATCTTTCGTCATATATACAGGAGAAAGGTATTATATATAGAGAGATCTGATTTATTGTATAAAATTACAGGTCCACCATTTAAGTGAAAATCAACAGTATATATCTAATCTAATATAATAACGGGTCCATCAATTTAAATAAAAAATTGACGGTGAGATTAAATTTTGCCACGTGGCATCCTAGGACCTATACATGTAATTCGAATACCTTCTAATTATACCATATTTTGTATGTTATTGATAGTCAGAGTTTGTAATAGTTTGACCTCAATATTGTCCATAATTTTTCTACTTATTAGCTGACAAAAATTTCCTCAAATCCCCGTTATATGTGCCTAGCTTTCGCATTCAATCCTCTAGTGAACAGAGTTCGAGCATGAAGGAGGGAGCCAGAATAACTCAACGGCAGTGGTTTTTTCTTTCTTGGGGAAGTGTGTGGACAGTGACACTGCTGGGGAAGCGCTCTTTAGTCCTATTTTGCAACCCTTTGTCCCGGGTTACAATCGGGACGCCTAATCCGGAACTAAAAAAGATGTCCAATTTTTAAGTCCTGGTTGGTGTTACCATTCGAGACTAGATTTAGAGATGATTTTGTCGATAATTTTGTGAATGATTTGGTGCTGCTTGCATCTATTGATTTCGAGCACCAATGTCGTCACCCCCAAATCCCCACAAATCATTCACCAAATCATCCACAAAATCATCCCTAAATCTACAAATATCTACAACAAAATCTACAAATCATTCACAAATTCTTAAAAAAAAACCACAAAGCCACAGCCGTTGTCGGCCGGCTGGCCGTGCACCGCCTCCTGGCCTCCCATCCCGCCGCCTCCGGGCCACCACCGCTGCTGGTTCCACCGGGCCGCCGCCCGGCTGCTGCGGCCGCTTCCACCGCCTCCACCTTCTGCGGCCTTGAGTGCCGCCACGGCCACTTCCGCCGGGCTGCCACCCGGCCTCCCCTCCCGTTGGATCTGGCAGAGGGGACGCCACCGCCCGCTAGCCGCCCGTCTGTCGCCTCTGCCTGCTGCTGCCTCATGTGCCGCCACGGTCGCTTCCGCCGGTCACTGCCTGGCCTCCCCTCCCATCGGATCTGGTGGAGGGAAGGCCGCCGCCCGCTGTCACCGTCGTCAGAGGAGGGGGGAGGGGGAGGAGGGAGGAGAGGAGGGGGAGAGGTTGAGAAAATAAGGGGAGGAGGAGATAAGGACAAGTCGCACGGCTCGAGGCAGCTGTTTGTGATTTTTTTTTTAATTTTGGTCCTGGTTGGTATAAACAACCAGGACTAAAGATAGATTTTTACTCCCGGTTAGTAACACCAACCGAGGCTAAAGAGAATGGCGGTCTGACATGTTTTTGGACCGGGAATAAAAATGATATTTAGTCTCGGTAGGTGTCACCGACTGGGAGTAAAGATCAAAAAGTTTCACTGGCTTTTTAACCGGGACTTAAAAATCTTTTTAGTTCTGGTTCCTATTGAAACTAGGACTAATGTGATTTTTTGCCAACCGGACAACTCTAGCAAATATGGCAAATTAAGTCGTTATGGATATGGGTGTTTGTGTTGGGGGGGGATTGATAGGAGTGTTGGGTGGAGGTCGGTCGGATTTAGACGAAGGTAATGGGAGGAGGAAGCCTAGCGATAGCTGGCAGCAATAACAGGGCGATACGACATTGATAGTTCTACCTCGACCACGTGTGGTTGAGTAGGTGGATAGTGTACTGGAATTAGAAGAGGGGATACTTGTCGGAGTGTAGGAGGGGGTGACGATGATTGATCCAATGAAAACCCTTCAAACAAAGGTTAGGAGATATGGGTCGGAAAGTGGGTAGTTGAGAAGTAGGAGTATGAAGATGGCTAGCCAGTGGGAGAGCACACTAGTGGGGCCCAATGAGTAGATGGGTGGCGGTACTCAGGGTCAGGTCGGGAAGGGTGACGGTGGTGCACATATGTGTGTGTGGCTGCACATCGTTTGGATCTGTTTGGAGACAGGGGAGGAGGGTGTATATACGAAGTTCGAAGTGATCGTAATTTACAAATAAATAAGGTGCGATTGACAAATAACCAACCCTTATTTATCTTTTTCAATTCCTAAAACATCTTAAATGTTGTGATGTAGAAGCAGGATTAGTTTTCATTATCTGAAGGATTATGTTTTGTTATTAACTGTCACCACCGTTTCATAGTATATCTATTATGTAGGACTTGTTTGCTGCTGGGAGTGACACAAGCTCTAGCACAATAGAATGGGCAATGGTGGAATTGCTTAAAAACACATTATCAATGGGTAAAGCCTGTGATGAGCTTGCCCAGGTTGTTGGATCAAGAAGAAGAATTGAAGAGTCTGAAATTGGTCAATTGCCATATTTGCAAGCTGTCATAAAAGAGACATTGAGATTACATCCACCGGTTCCACTGTTACCACATCGAGCTAAGATGGCGATGCAAATAATGGGTTATACAATACCTAATGGTACAAAAATATTGATAAATGTGTGGGCCATAGGTAGAGATAAAAACATTTGGACAGAACCTGAGAAGTTCATGCCAGAGAGATTCCTTGATAGAACAATTGACTTCAGAGGTGGAGATTTAGAGCTCATCCCATTTGGTGCAGGCCGTCGAATCTGCCCTGGAATGCCATTAGCTATTTGGATGGTGCATGTGGTTCTTGCATCACTATTAATTCATTTCAAATGGAGACTACCGGTTGAGGTGGAAAGAAATGGAATTGATATGACAGAGAAGTTTGGATTGACTCTAGTAAAAGCTATTCCGCTATGTGCTTTGGCCACACCAACTTAAGTCAACGAGCCACTGTTTGAGTTAGAATAATGGACTGCTCTTTGTCAACTCAAGCATTGTATCATGCACGGTATTATTGATGTGAAAATAAAAATACATCATCAATGAAATTTGTGGGTATTTACTACTTCCCAATGTTTATCAATAGTCCTGAGAAAATTACACAGCATATATTTGTATTAGAATAAACCCTCGTGGGGAAAAATGTAGAAATGTTAGATGTCAAAGTATACATGAAGTGAAGTGATATGTATGTCCTTCCTCATTATCTTGAGATTTGGGGAAAACTGTAGAAATGTTAGGTGTTAAAGTATACGTGAAGTGAAGTGAACTGTATGCCATTCCCCAACGCGAGATTTGGGTTGAATTTGCTAGTGTGCATAATTAAATATGGCAATGCATACACAAAGGTCTCAAGTTTGAACCTCTTGGCTGATGTCACTTTTGTTCTAGGCCTGACGCCTGATAGTTTATATATATATATATAGAGGTAAATTTGTGTGTTTATATATATGTATACATAGGAAAGCTCTATTCTACACCCCCTCCCACCTAGCCCAACCCAACTAAGCCCATCCCTCCCACCCTCCCGCCTCCCTCGTTCCCTCCCCTCCCCACGCACGATATACCCCCTCCTCAGTCCTCCCCCATGCGCGCAGCCCCGCCTCCACCCCCGCGTGCCATCTCTCCACCCCCTCTCCCGATCTCGTTTTCTTTTTCTTCTTAGTGAATTTGAGACTTGAACCCATAATCTCATGACTCGTGACAAACTCTCCTAACTAATCCACCCTATGACGCTAGGTGATTAGAGACCATTGTTTGCTAATTTTGTATGTTTGTTCAAATTTTGTGAGAACGCATCAGTTATGTTTACAGAAGGAATCATACCTTATTACTATGATTCGGTAGTAACATCATCGCAGAAGTGCAGTAACACGATACGTTACTGCGAAATTTATAGGTCGTTACTGTGAGAATTTATAGGTCGTTACTGCACTTTTTGCAGTAACATCATTATGAAATTGTACCTTATTACTATGATTCGGTAGTAACATCATCGCAGAAGTGCAGTAACACGATACGTTACTGCGAAATTTATAGGTCGTTACTGCGAGAATTTATAGGTCGTTACTGCACTTTTTGCAGTAACATCATTATGAAATTGCAATAACAGAGAACATATGGTAGTAACGGTACTACTACAGTACCACTGCATGTGCATAGCTAAAATTTAAAATCTCAATCTAGTGCAAAATATAAAGTGCTAAGAAAGTGCATGTGCATAGTCACAACTTAACACAAGTGCTAAAAGTACTTCTCTTTGTCCATACAAAGATACATAGTAGAAAGATTAGTACAAGTAAACTTTTAGAATTATAATATTTAAACAATAATATCTCTCATATCGCATATTATTTTTTAGAACCGTCTTCACCATAATGCTTTAAAACGATATTACAGCGAGACAATAGTCCTGTTACTACACGATGATTAAGACAAAAATGCTTTTATTATGTTGTTACTGTGGAAAGTAGTCGTGTTACTACACATTGATCGTCGCGTTACTACGGTTTTCTAAAGAGAAGAGAACTTAAAAAAAAGTAAATCTCAATCTTTAGAGAGCAATATCTCTCACATTATATAGTATGTTTCTAATCCGTCTGCACCATGATGTTCGTAAAAAAGTGCTTAACAAAACTAGATCCATCATGACTATTTTTCGATGTTGTTACTACGAGAAAGTTTGTCATGTTATTGCACGATAACTGTTATGTTACTGCGGAATTCCTGCGAGACGTGAACAACAAAGTGGTGGGCGGGGGAGGGAGTCAATGGGCGGGTTTGACCGACGGGAGGGGGCTTTGACTAGCCTTTGACTGAGGTAGGAGGGGGGATTTGGGCCCTAAGAAGGGTGGGGGAGGTGGGATTGGCCCATGGGAGGGGGGTGTAGAAAAGTTATTCTATGAGAGGGGTGTAGAATAGATTTGCTATGTATATATATGTATATATATATATATATGTTTATATATATGTGTATGTGTGTGTGTGTGTGTGTGTGTGTATATATATATATATATATATATATATATATATATATATATATATATATATATACACATACATACATACATACATACATACATATATATATATATACATATATATATATATTCTACACCCGGGGTATAGAATAATACCGCCCTCCCCCTCAAGAGCCCAACCCACCTCCGCATCCTTTTATTGGGCTCATAACCCACCTCCCATCCCAGTCAAAGCATGGTCAAAGGACGGTCAAATCGCTGCCATGTCGGTCAAACCAGTGTGCTAACTTCCTCCCACGTCTACCTATTTGTTGTCCTCGTCTCGTGCGAACTGTGCAGTAACATGACGACCACCATGCAGTAACGCTGTAGCTTACTTGCAGTAACACTAATAAAATATAGTTAAAATATAGTCTTGACGGATCTAGTTTTGTAGAGCTCTTTTTTTAAAGCATTATGGTGCAAAAGGTTCAAAAATATAATATGTGGTGTGAGAGATATTATTGTTTAAAGATGTGAATTCAAAAGATATCACTTTCACTTACATTTTACTAGTTCAAAGTGGGTGGTAGGTCTTGTACCTGTGTTTGGTTGTTACCACCTGTTATTGCAGTAACGCTATTAAGAAATTGCAGTAACACATGTTACTGTAAAAATTATAGTTGTTACTGCACACATATAGTAACGTCATGATGGAATAGTAGTAACACACCATAAAAAGTAGTAACAATAATGATTTAGTATTACTACTTATGGAGAGATAAATTTCAAAAGACCAATCTTCGAGAAGAAATAGTAGTAACACACTCGATTACTGTAAAAGCACATAAACTATTACAACTCTACAGGACACACAAAGTTCCATAGTTGTAGGAAGCTAAGTAGAAGAGAAATATATATGTTATTACAAAACTCATAACAAGTTACTATGTTTTAGTAGTAACATTATCGTATAAGTATAGTAACACATCACATTACTACAAAACATATAGGATGTTACTGCACTTTTGATAGTAACATCGTGGTGAAATTATAGTAAACTAGGAATTGAAACAAAAATATATGAGTTAAAAGTCTACATGCTAACCATATTTTTGTTACTGCACAAAAGTGTAAGTGTTACTGCATGGTAGATACACGTTACCACAAGTTTATGCAGTAGCACTATTCAAGAATTGCAGTAAGACGATTTTTTACTACAAAACTTATAATATTTACCACACTTTCATAATAACGTTATGATGGGATTGTAGTAATGTACAATAGATAGTAATAACACTTATGATATAGTATTACTACTTGTGGAGAGTTAAATTTCAAAAGACCAATCTTTGAAGGTTCTCTCTTTGCCCCATGAGTAAACCGAGCCAATTCATCTCTCTCCATGTTACTGCACCTTTTTTTCTTACTATACATATTCTTGCAGTAACGTTATCAAGTAATCGCAGTAACACACTATGTTACTATGAAACTTACAATCGTTACTACATCTTGTAGTAACGATATTATGTGATTGCAGTAACGCATAGCAGATCAGCAGTAATACTTATGATATAGAATTACTCCTCGTGGAGAGTCAAATTTATAAAAAACCAATCTTTAAAGGGTAGTATCTCTCACATCATGTACTACTTTTAAAAACCGTTTGGACCATGATGTTAGAAAAAAGTGCTTATCAAAAGTAGATCCGTCATGACTATATTATGACTATATTTCAATATTGTTACTGCACGTAAGACATGGTGTTACTGCACGATGAACATCGCGTTACTACGTTGTTCTGAGACGAGAGTTGAGAAGAGTGGAGGTGGTGGAGAAAATGAAGGGCGGGTTTGACCGAGGTGGGGGAGCTTTGACTGAGGTGTGGAGTGGGTTTTGCCCCCTGCAGGGAGGGAAGGTGGGTTGGAGGGAGGGGGGCCTATTCTATACCCTGGGTGTAGAATAGTTTTTCTATATATATATATATATATATATATATATATATATATATATATATATATATGTATATGTATATATATATATGTGTGTGTGTGTGTGTGTATATATATATAGTATATAACTATAGAAAATAACAATCCACATCGATACAACGCTCCATAAGGCCTTGTTCGGTTACTAGGGATTTAATCCCCAAGGGGAATCAATCCAGGGAGGGATTGAGTGAATCCCTCTCATGTCACTCAATCTCTGTTGGGGATGAATCCCTCCCTACCCACTAATCCCCCTCTCAAATCCATGTGTTCGGTTTGATCAAGATCAACAATAGCAGGATTGGTGCTTTCCTACTTCAACGCTGCTATTGAGTTAGCTTGGCAGTTTATATGCATCAACTTCAGAGCATCAAACGGAGGAAGCATCAAACATAGCAACGGAATTTGATAATATCTTATCGTACAAACAAAATATACTCAGCGGAGTAATTACTGTAATCTCCAATGAACATCAAATGTCACTTTTTCTTTTCAGTCGAAACAGTCCTAGCTTCTACAGTCTATGCTTAATAAATATTTTAGGCATAGTGAAAGAAGTGAAGTGCAGATGCATAATTGATCCTTCAGCGCCCCTGCAACAAAAAGATCCTTACAGCCTTCCAGTTCCATAATTTACACCATCATCAGCATCTTCTCCAACTGTCATCATAGGAGAATTACGAAAAATTATGTAAGACCATAGTAGAGCTGATTGAGGATATGTATATGGTAATTTAAAATTCCATAAATTGACAACTACTTGTGGGTAACCCCAAAGAGAGGTATATTATAACAACTAAAAATTAAGCATTATCTAATATAGTTTACTTGCAATTTTCTGAAGTTTAACCATGTTCAGAACATTGATCCAGAAATTAAGCAACATGCTCCTATTCCCCCATGCATCCATATGGTGACATTGGTATACACAAATACCATTAACTTTAATCTACAGTACTTCGAGGAACTTATGCAAGCATTGCCTTTTGCCATGCCACACAAACAAAAAATGATTTTTTTCTTCTAAAAATAGCATATAAGCTAGTTGTAAATGATCATCTTCATCATGCATGATTAATATTCATAATAACACTTTAGACAAAAACAAATTGACAGAGGAATTATTATATTCACATCACAAAAATTAATATCTTGTCAACTTTCAGCATTCTTAAACATGTTGGAGATGACATGTAGTATAATCTTATGAAAACATGTTGAACTGAACTAATGCAACAATCCATTTCTTGTTGTACATTCAATCCCATAAAAATAAAACCAGTGAACATTATAATGCACAAAGTTTCAGACTAAGTGTATAACAGATATATGATGAATGTAGAAAAGGATGACCACCTCAACCTTTTTCTAGTTTCTCTCTCTAGAAATTAGAACGTGTGGGAGTACAATTTAGCCTTGACAACACTAAACACTTGCTTGCTAGCTAATGGTAATAGAGTGTGATTTTGAAATCTGAACTTACTTTGTAGACAGATCCAAAACCACATTTTTCAAGCAAACTTTCACATGAGAAATTATTAGTTGCATCTTTTATGTCAGAGAAATCATACGTTTAAAGTCCGAGTTGCCATCTTCACCTCCAGAGAGTTATTACATTCTGTACTGCCATGGACAACCTTCGCATTCGCAGCTCTGATCTTATTCACCACGAGTAAGAACTCACCGCACTACTAGAAGAAATGTTTTTCCAGGCGGTCAAAACACGTTTTCGTAGGCGGACAAACCTTCCGCAGGTACCTAAACGACTGTAAAAATCCTTAATTTTTTTAGATGGACCAAAGCACCGCCTGCAAAAATAATTTTCGCATGCAGCAGTTCATTCTTTGCAGGCGCTACATTCACCGCGCAACAAAAAAATTTCCCGCCAGCCCACCCCACCCATCCTAGGTTTCAAATCATAAATCAACATCATCAACTTGCAAGCTAACATCAATCAACATCAATCAACATGTAAACTTAAAAAAAACGCCGTTGTCGTCCATCCGCCGGCCTCCATAGGTGGCGCCGTCGTCGTCGTCGCGTCAGCGCCGTCATCGCAGCAGTCGTCGTCGTACTCGCGTCGTCGCCGTCGTCGTCGTCGTCGTCGTCGTCGCGTCGTCGCCATCGTCGTCGTCGTCGTCGGCGCCGTCATCGTCGCGTCTCCTCTCCTCGTCGCCGCCTTCCCTCCCCTCCACTCCCCTCCCCTCCCCGAGACCGGCCAGCGGCGAGGAGAGCCGGCGGCGGATTCGGCGCCCGAGGAGGCGAGGAGGGGGGAGCCGCCGCCGTCGTCGTTCGTCGGAGCCGCCGCCACTCAAGGAGGCGTCGTCGTCGTTCGTCGGCGTCCGGCGCCCGAGGAGGCGAGGAGGGGAGCCGGCGGCGGATCCGGCGCCCGAGGAGGCGAGGAGGGGGGAGCCGCCGGCGCCGTCGTCGTTCGTCGGAGCCGCTGCCGCTCAAGGAGGCGTCGTCGTCATTCGTCGGCGCTCGAGGAGGCGAGGAGCGGAGCCACCGCCGCTCGTCGGAGCCGTCGCCGCTGCTGTCCTGCCCTGCCGCCGCCGCTCGTCGGAGCTGTCGTCGGCCGTTCACCTCTGCTGCGCGCGAGGGAGATAGAGGATAGGGAGAGAGGAGAGGGGGAAATGAGTGGTGGGGGGAGGGTGGATGAGAAGATAAGGATGGGGGCTGTAAGAGTAGATAAGGAAGAAGATTTTATAGAACGATTTTTCTAGGCGGACCACGTATTTTTTCGCCTGTAAAAATATAATTTTTGTAGGCGGACCACTTGTAAAAATTGTTTTTCGAGCGCCGACGAATGACGACTTAAGTGGTCCACCTGCAAAAATTGATTTTCGTAGGTGGATGATGAAAACCCACCCTGGTTTATATTTTTATAGGCAGATATTTGGCTTCGAGAGTCATACCCGCCTGGAAAAATAAAAGGCTAACATCGCTAAAAATCATTTTTCTAGTAGAGCGGGAAATGCAGCAATCAAGAACACACCACACCCAAATCAAGAACTAATGAGATGGTTTAGGACGTGTGACGGCAGCGGCGAATCAATAACTCATCCCCACCCAACCAAGAAAAAAAGCTCATTCCCCATCTGATCAAGAACTCACTAATCCTCACCCAAATCAAGCACTCACCAGATCGAGCAGGATATGAGGAGGACGATGACGAATTGCGGCGACGAAGGGAAAGGGAGAAAAGAAGAAAACCCTAACCCTAGCTTTGGAAGAGGAGGAGAGAAGGGAAAAGGCTGCGTGCTCACTAGAGAGAAGATGGTGGCCGGAGGAGAGCGCCGTGCCGTCACCGTCGCCTCGCGTCGCGCCGCTCCCGCCGTTGTGCCACCTCGAATTGCCTCCGCGTCGTGCTGCCACTGCGCGTGTTGCACGTCGCCTCCCGGCTCCCGTCGTGAGGAATTTTTCCACGCCACACGAGAAGCTGATTTTTTCCCGGGCCTAGGTGAGGGGGAAAGGCCGGGATAGGCCAGGGTAAAACCCATACTGGGCTTAACCGAACACACAATTTCGGATGGGCCGAGATTGTTTCCTCGCCAGGGTGATCCACGGGGATTGGGCCCCGATCCCGGCCGGGAATGGCCCAACCAAACAAGGCCTAAGGGAAACCTCAAACATGTATATGAGGGGATTGTTAAGTTATAATTAATTGAATTAGTTGTATTAGCTGTGTTTCCTTATCAACTTTAAGCTTTTGCTTGAAGCAGCCCACCTATAAATCTATTAGAATTTATAACAAATTAAATAAAATGGTTCAATTAACTATATAAGCTGATTACATCTAACAGACCCAAATTTGTAAACTTAGAATAAATTTAATGGACAGTGCTCCGGTACTCATCTGCAATGGAATTTATTTGGCTTGTTTGGATTTTCCATGTATTCATAAGTACATTAGCATGCATATAACTATGTTTGAAAAAATGACAATGCGCATATCTCTGCTATCGTAAACATGACAATGACAATGAACATTTGTGACGAGTTTTATAGTGATCTCTATCGGACCTAAAACTGAGCCTGTCACCAATGACACACATTGGTGACGGGGCTAAACAACCATCTTCATCGGGCCTAAGTTAGGGCCCATCACAGATGAGACCTATCAGTGACGGACCTATTCCATGAGCCGAAACATAAGCCCGTCATCAATAGGTCTCATCGGTGACGGGCTCGCAATAGATGCTCATGGAATATGTCTGTACGGGTATATCTGTGTCGGTATTTATTTCAGCCTATTAAAGATGACGACGTTGTGACAGTGCGAAAGACCAAACACGGGATAGGCTGTCACAGATATGTAGTTTTGTACTAGTGAACACTCTGACATCTTCGATCATCTCACATATAGCACTGTACATTGAGGCTTGAGAATCAGTTATATGACACTATAAGTAAAAAAATGTATTTGATGTATGTGTTCCAATGCTTGTCAGATTGATCCTCTCATCTTTAATTTACACCTACCAATCTTATTATGCAACTCCGAAGACAATAAATTACGTTGTGATATGGCAATAAACTTGAACATCGACAGCAACATTTTGTCAGGGCGGCTGGTGATCAAGGAGTGCCAAAGAACTACTGAAGAAGAAGGGCTGGAGACTGAAGAGCATAACCTGCCGGATGATGTACAGGAAGACTCAGAGATGGCACTGGCGCTACCGCGACGAACATCAAGTATTGTGGGCCGAAATGGGCCTTGTAATAGATCCAATACAGTCTTGCATTAGCTTGAACTTGCGTGAGAGAGAAGGAGAGTTGGTGAGATTTGTAATACAAGAACAGAGTACTCTGCTCGAAGAACTTGGGCTTGGCAACTCGGTGGCGATGGCGGCGGCAGCTCAAACCTAATGGATTGGAGCAATATATGTACTAAATAGTTGCCTAAATCATGTGTGTGTGTGTGTTTGTGTGTGTGTAATTGTCCTGTTCTTCCTCTTTTCTCCAATTTGACTAGCGAGTAGCTGACAATCTGGTATAAGAGCCTTCCGCCCCAAAAATTCTCCTGGCTTGGTTGTAAAATTCCAGAGAAGGATTGGAAATTGTTCTTTGGATCAATATTCCACGAAAAGGCAACTTGTCTTCTTCTGGTTAAGTGAGTTTGGAGAGGGAGTGGTCGATTCTGTCTCCTACGTCACAACTTAAAACACCCATAAAAACCATGGCGCATGAATGGAAGCAAGATCTTCTGTTGAGAACTATGGAGGAGAACGAGAGGAAAAGGGAGGAGGAGGAGGAGAGGGCGAGAAGTGATTTTGCAAATCTAAAGTGATGCCTCCTTGCCTTTGGCAACTCTGGAAGCATCTAACAAACTCTTTAGAGGCCTCATACATTGGTGGCAAAAAGAATCCGCTCTGCCAAATCTTGGCTTGTGTGTGGAATGCACCGTAGTGCCCACTATAAGGTGCTGATCGTCATCTCTCTACGATATTAAGTCCTTCCTCGGTTGGCACATACCTCCTTAGTAGTCCATCTAAGCAGACTCTATATAAATATGGCTCGTCCCATATGTGGTGACGACTTTCATACTTTAATTTCCTTCTGTTCTCTCTCAGTGGTACATATCTTGATACCATGTAGTTCACAATATTCGCGTAACACGGGTTGGAGTTGTTCACAATCATCAGCTTGTCATCTAGTACGAAATCATTTATTAGTGGTTCCTGCACATTAGTGATTTGCAACCTCGACAAATGATCTGCTACGGAATTTTCTACTCCCTTTTTGTCGTTATTTCTAAGTCAAATTCCTGGAGCAGAAGGATCCATCTTAAAAGACGGGGTTTAGCATCTGTCTTGGTGAGCAAATATTTTAAGGTAGCATGATCAGTATAGAGAATTACCTTAACACCTAGCAAGACCTAAACATATCTATAGCAAAAATAACAGCCATAAGCTCCTGTCAAGATTTTGTTAGCATAACAGATTGCATTATGTTTCTTCTCTTTGGTTTGGCCTAAAACCGCACCAACAGGAAAATCACGGGCATCACACATAATCTCGAATGGGAGTGTCCCATCAGGAGGTTGGATGATTGGGGCAGAAACGGGTGCCTTTTTGAGGATTTCAAAGGAATTAAGGCACTCGTCGTTAAACTCAAAGGGCACATCCTTAACTAACAGGTTGGTCAGAGGTCTGCCAATTGTAGAAAAGTCCTTAATGAACCTTCTATAGAAACCAGCATGACCGAGGAAGCTACGGATTCCCTTGATACTCACCGGAGGTGGAAGTTGATCTATCACCTCTATCTTAGCTTGATCCACCTCTATACCTCTCTCAGGCACACGATGTCTAAGGACAATCTCTTCATGGACCATGAAATGGCAATTTTCCCGGTTAAGCACTAGGTCTTTCTATTCGCATCGTTGCAAGACTTTGTCTAAATTTTGGAGACAATGACCGAAAGTTTTTCCATAGACAGAGAAGTCATCCATGAAAACCTCCATAATGTATTCGATCATGTCCGAAAAGATAGACACCATACAACTCTGGAAAGAGGCAGGAGCGTTACACAGCCCAAATGACATTCTACGATAAACATAGGTTCCATACGGGCATGTAGCTCAAAAGTTTCACCGGAATCTTCTTCTTCCTCAATGAAATCTGAGACATTATTTTCAAGAAGTGATTCGGGAGACTCAAAAGGAATAATAGTTGTTACTTCCTTTGCATATTCGTCTTCAGGCAGGGAATCAGTCAAGGCAAATCTTGATTGTGAAAATGAAATAGAGAATTTGTTCCCTACTAAAGAGAATTTTAGGCTACCTAATCGAGGGCAGTTGATGAGAAGTTTCTTGATCAGATGCCCAATTAGGACGTCAAAGTCTTGGATTTCAAAGACATGAAAATCCAAGATGGCCTCTTTATCGTTGTATTGGACAGATACATCTTGAACAATCCCAAATCCTTCAATTAACTTCCTATTCGGGTGTTTGAAGAATTTGTTCATCGGAGTAATGGCCTTGTCACTCAAATAAGCAAATGTGAATGATTCTGAGACAAGGTTGACTCCGACTGTTGGACTATATAGAATACCAACAGTATTCCCTTCTAAGTTGCAAGGGATGGTTCGAGGAGTGGAATTATTCCGAATTACTTCGGAAGAAAGCTCTGCCTCTTTTAACCATTCGTTGCTCATGACTGTGGTCAGCTCCCAGACTATTTCTTTAAGATATTCATCTTCGATTAGATCAGGAGGTGGCAAGGCCATAGGAGGTTTCTTTTTACTGAAATAATTCTGGGTGTTTCCAAAATCTTCATCAAGATCATTCCTGAACATTATAGCACATTCCAGAGTTTGAATTTCTTTGCTCTTTGCTGGTGATGGTTTGGAGGAGGACTCCTTAGCCGAATCTATTGATGTAGGCGGTTCAGTCTCAGATTCAGCTATCGAAGGTTCCTTAATTTTACGCATCGATGCCTTAGGGAGGGATTCATTATATTGCTCTATGAAGGAAGTATTTTCCATAATTCGATCTAGAATTATTTGTCCTTCCGAAGGAGTTTTATGCAGGAATGATCCTCCGACAATGGTGTCAAGGTATAATGCATACTCCTTGTCTAAACCTGCATGAAAATGTTGTAATAGCACATATTCAGGTATGAACAAGGTTGGACCAGATCATACTAAATTATTAAATCTGGACTAGGCTGCACCGATGGATTCTTTATTCATCTGCTGGAAGATGATGATTTCTCGCAACTTTTCCCAGTCACCATTTGCGCACTTGATGGTAGATGTGTACTGTTGTATTGCGCTCTCTTGAAGAGAGAACGGAAACAATTTC